GTGACTCCGCGTGAAAACAGACGAGTGTTCTTGTATGAAGTTCCTTCGAACGTTGTGTTCAACGGCGCTCCAGTCAACGTCCCCGAGCCAACAGTGGAGACCAATATCGTGCTCATCCGTACGCCCCAGGGATTACTGGGACCCGAACCTGTTGTTGTACCTCCTCCAAGACAGCAGCACGTGGTGTACGTGCTCAACAAGCAATCTGAACACGATCAGAGGGTGATCGAAGTGACAGCGCCACCGCCATCTGAGCCTGAAGTTTACTTCGTGAACTACGCTGAAGGAGAGAATCCAACTCTTCCTAGTGGAGTGGATCTACAGAGCGCTCTGGGTGCTGCCACTCAAGGCGGCGGTCAAGTGATCGGGGGAAGTGGTATAGGCGGTGATGGTGGTGTCGGCGGCGGTATTGGCGTTGGTGTTGGTGGCGGTTTTGGCAGTGGTATCGGCGGAGGCATTGGTGGTGGTATCGGCGGCAGTTTTAGCGGTGGTATCAGTAGCAGTAGTGGTGGTGGTATCGGTAGCGGTATTGGTGGTGGTATCGGTAGCAGTATCGGCGGTAGTATCGGTAGCGGTATTGGCGGTGTTGCTGGTTTAGGTGGAGGATACACCCCGCCAACCCAGCCCTCACCTCTGTACACTTCACCATAAAACCTATTTGAAGATTACCTATAAACTTTCAAAAAATATACACAGGTCAAAATCATCCATGTATTCTACTTTTTAATTTTAAAATCTGTTAATTTATAATGGTAAAATTGTTAATTTAATAAAAGGGGGAAATGTACTCTACTTGTTCTCTATAACCCTAACGATGGAATATCTTGAATTAAGAAAACAGATAAAAAAATATCCTCACGAATAACCTTTATTTCTAACTTCATATGTCATATGTCAAAAAAAAGATTCACAGATGATGGGTTTTTGAAAAGGAGAAAGATGCCATCGATCTATCGCTGATAATGGATGACTTTAAATTCAGACAGGCATTGTTCAAACCAGTTATATTCATGATATCAGCCTAGGAAGGGTCTACTGGGGATACCATGGCTGAACTGTCTGGCTGTATAATGTGAAAACCGTATAATGGGCTGCAGTCTCAAGTGATTTAATTAAGCAGTATTAATAATCCCATCTAAAATACTGTGGCTTGCTAAGAAATGTAAGTGATGTACAGTTCTGCCAACCTGTCAAGTAAAACTAACATTATCCTAGTGGTTTCAATGTATTTAAAGTGTAAGGTACTGCTGTAAGTGTCAGTTGTTCCCGAACGAGTAAAATCATTGGAATTGCAAAAGATTACAGAAAAAATATAAATATTCCACTGTATTCCATCATCTAACATCAAACAGTTTTTAGTATAGTTTTTTCTAATAACTAATTAATCGTCTTGGGCATGTAATATAGTCAAGAATCGTTTAAACTTAAATGGTTAATGTTTGTGGCAACCATGATGGCGTAATTGAATGTCAAATGATAGATAGCTTCATTGATCAGATTCGACAAACGTATCTGACTTTTGTTTAAGGTCTTTTACGTATGGCATTCTAAGAATTTCTGTTAAAAATTCACGCAGTAAACCATATATATATTTACATATTCACATATGATTATATATATCTATTCATATATGGCTATATATATATTCACATATGATTACATATATTTATATATTCACATATGATTATATATATTTATATATATTTTTCATATACATATTAGTATATGAATATAAAGACACACACGCATATATACATTTGCATATATATATATATATATATATATATATATATATATATATATATATGTATGTACATATACATACATACATATTTATATTGGGATACATATATATATATATATATATATATATATATATAAATATATACATATATATACGTACATATATATATATATATATATATATATATATATATATATATTATACGTACATATTTCTATATATAGATACATATTTCTATATATAGATACATATGTGTATATATATACATACATATGTATTTATATATGCATGTATTCACGCGTGTGTGTACGTACACACACACACACACACACATATATATATATATATGTATATATATACTTATATATACATATATACACATAGGAATGTATATAGAGATAGATATACATAAATGTGTGTGTATATGTATGTGCGTGCGTGCACACACAAATATACACGGACACATACATATGTGTACATACTTAGACATATGTCTATATATGTGTAGATATATGTATGCACACATACATATATAAATACATGTGTATATATATATATATATATATATATATATATATGTATATATATATAGATAGATAGATATGTATGTGTGTATTTATACATGTATATAAGATGTATATATAAACAGAGAGATTAATAGATAGCTACACACTGCATATATATGTATATATACACAGTATATATATACACGCAGACACATATGATTGTGTGGGTATGTTTCTATTCGAATGCATC